AACAAGGATTTGCGGTTGTGCATCGATTATCGCAAGCTCAACGCGCAGACGATCAGAAACGCCGGCCCTCTCCCACGCATCGACGACCTTCTCGAGCAACTGGGCGGCGCCAAGTTCTTCTCCAAGCTCGATCTCAAGTCGGGATATCACCAACTCGAGATTCGCAAGGAGGATCGCTACAAGACCGCGTTTAAGACGCGATATGGGCATTTCGAATGGCTGGTCATGCCATTTGGCCTTACGAATGCCCCAGCCACTTTCCAAGCGGCTATGACAACGGAGTTCCGACACATGCTGGATCGTTACGTACTTATCTACCTCGACGACATCGTGGTGTACAGCCGGAGTTTGGAGGAGCATGTGTAACGCCTGTGCACCGTTTTGGAGCGGCTACGATAAGCCAAGTACAAAGCCAACCGGGACAAGTGCGAATTTGCGCGGCAAGAGCTGGAGTACTTGGGACATTATGTGACGCCGCAAGGCATCCGTCCGCTTGCGGACAAGATCGAGGCCCTACGAGTATGGCCCGAGCCCACCAACACTACGGATGTTCGTTCATTCATGGGACTGGCGGGCTACTATCTGCGATTCATCAGCGGATATTCCAGGATTGTTGCACCTATGACGAGGTTACAGTCGCCAAAGGTGCCATTCGTATTCGATGACGACACACACCGGTCATTCCAAGCACTTAAGACAGCCATGCTCATGGCACCCGTCCTTAGCATCTATGACCCCACCCTACCGACGCGAGTGACTACGGACGCTTCCGGCTATGGCATTGGGGCAGTCTTGGAACAGCACGACGGCGACGACTGGCACCCTGTGGAGTATTTCAACCACAAAGTGCCTCCCATCAACTCGCTTGATGATGCAAGGAAGAAAGAGCTGCTCACATTCGTCATGGCTCTCAAGCGATAGCGGCACTTCCTCCTTGGGCGTCGTAGGTTCACATGGGTTACGGACAACAATCCATTAACTTACTACAAGACGCAGGATATGGTGAGCAGCACGATCGGACGATGGATGTACTTCATCGACCAGTTTGAATTCACACCGAAACATCTTCCCGGCCTCTCAAATCGCGCAGCAGATGCATTCTCGCGAAGACCTGATCTTTGCGCTATGACACATCATGCCTTCGCATTCGACGAGGAGCTTCAGCGACATTTCATCCGGGCATATGATTCTGATCCGAACTTCGCCACGCTGTATGCACAGCTATCTTCGGATCACCCGCCGGCCAGCCACTATCGCATTGCCAACGGGTACTTGCTCCTCCACTCGAGAGGCAAGGACTTACTATGTGTCCCACTCGACCGCCGACTTCGGACTCGCCTCCTCGGCGAGTATCATGATTCAAGACTCGTCGGCCATTTCGGAGTCAACCGCACTATTGCACGGCTTCGACAGCGATTCCGATGGCCCGACCTCATTACCGATGTCACTCGGTATTGCGACTCTTGCGAAGTTTGCCGATGCAGCAAGCCCCGCAACCGCAATCCCTACGGCGAGTTGCGCTCGATACCTATCCCACGGGAAGCTGGTCTCTCCATTGCCATGGACGTCACCGGTCCGTTTCCCCGCGACCGGCTCGGGCACGACGACATCCTCACGGTGGTGGACCGATTGAGTAAGTACGCGCGTTTTTTCCCTTGCAAGTACTACTCCACGACTCCCGAGCTGGTACGCCTCTTGCACACTGGTTGGATTTGTAACCACGGTGTACCAGAAGACATAGTCAGCGACCGCGACACTCGTTTCATATCAGCATTTTGGACTGCGCTCATGCAGGAGTCCGGCACGACGATGAAACCAAACTCGGTTCGGCATCCACAGACAGACGGGCAGACGGAGCGGGCACATCAAACCGCTCAAATGATGCTTCGTACGCTCATCCGTCCGGACCAGAAAGATTGGGTTGACCGCCTCCCCGACATCGAGTTCGCCTACAACACTTCGGTGCATCCGACGATCGGCATAACTCCATTCGAGTTGCACCACAGTGGACGGAAAGGCCGGATCTTCGCCGACCTTCTCCTCCCTCGACCAGCCRACATTGACACTGCCTGCTCTCCCGCTTCCGTCCGGAAGTACAGGGAATTGTTGACTCAAGCATGCGCGCACATGCAAAAGGCTCAAGTCCGCATGCAGCAGCAAGCCAACAGGCGTCGCGTACCATGTCCAATCCGCGCCGGTGATCTGGTTTGGGTCTCCGCGGAAG